GTCAATAAAGCACAGTAATATTTTGCATTGATGGTTGAACCCTTTTGGAGGTAGTCCACCAGAAGAACTCCCTTCTTATCCCAAAAAACTGTTGCCATTTGCTTCTGCACCGACCTTTGCACTCGGAACTTCTTTGGCCTGGGGGAACCCCTGTGCCTCCATTCCTTAGACTGTTCCTTTGACTCAGGATCAGAACAGTTAGATCCATGTCTCATCACCAGTTACCAGTTTGCCCAGGAAATCTGACTCATTTCTTGCAAAATGTTCCAAAACAGCTGATGACGCTACATGTTTCGTCTTTTGTTTAGATGTCAAAAGTTTGGGGATCCACTTTGCTGCCAGCTTTCTCATTTCCAAGTCATTGTGGATAATGGCACCAACTTTCTCACGGGATATTGCCATGTCATGGATGGCATTCACATTTGTAGGTACAGAGACAAAAACAGGCCTTCCACTGGGTTTCTCACTTTCAACACCGAAATGGCCAGTTTTAAAATTGACAACCCAACATTTAACTGTTGCATATGAAGGGTCACTGTCACCCGTAGTTTGTGACATTTCATCATGGATCTGCTTTGCACATTTCCCTTGGAGAAACAGGAACTTGCTTATGGTCCTATGCTCTTTCACATTGAACTTTTCTGGAGGTGCCGCCATGTTCACTTTGGAATGGAAAATGAAAGATAAGTTAAAATCATAGGTAGTTGATTTTTGCACCATTAAATATAGGCAAATTGGCCCAAACACCCTGCAATTTATAGCTTCCTAGGTCAGGTTTTTTTTCTGGGAAAGGCTCAATACTTATCAGCACCCTTTCGTACCATTGCCATGTTCCCACAATTGTTCTATAGTCTATTCAGTATTATGTCTCTGAATGAAAGTAAAGGACTAAAAGTTACTCTGGACCATTAGTGGCTAAAAAGCCTATCCAGGAAGAAGTGTTTTAGATTGGAAATGCTGGAATCCACCATTGTTTTCTATAAATAAACAATATTTCTTGGCATCCAACAACTTATTCAAATGCATATCCATATTCATCTGAGAACTAGGCATAAGAATGATTTCTTTTCCTCCTACAATTGTTGTTTTTGGTACATGGTCCTGCTTTTAGGAACTAATATCAGCCTTAAAGAGTATTTGCCTTATTTCTGGTGTGGCGCATATAAGAACCGTCTTTAGTCATAGCTGGAAAACATCTTAATTTGGTTGGTTTCTTGGGTAACATGTAGGCTCATGCTTTGGGATGGTAGAATACATGAGAGACCCCTAATTAGTTGTGATACTATGTATTGCCTTGGGTCCCTTTATTAGGAGAAAGACGGGGTCTTAATAAATAAGTGGATCAGCTAATTATGTTGCACCGGTTCTTTATTGCTTTTTTTTAATGTTCTATTTTAATTTGATTTGCCAATCATGTCCTCCAATCTTTAATACCTCATTACACAACATGGATATGAACACATGAAAAAGAACCTGTGATAGACCTAAATGTAAACTGCATCTCCACATTTTCTCTGTGTCCCCACATCTAGTCTCCTCTATCTATCCATGGTGGGCCCCAACAATGTCATCCACATCAAAGGCTCATTGACTTCTTGACTGCTGTTGTGATACTTTACCAGAAGTTTCTTTCTGCATGGAAGATATTGGATAATCACTGTGCTAGAGAATAAATGACATCAGAAATGGCAGTTTAAAAACCACCTTCATAATGTTTTAACCAGTCATTCTGCTACTGATCTGAAAGTAACTGTGTATAGAAATAAATTACAGAGGGGAGAGGGAAATGGTGAAGGTACATTTCATCTGCATATCACGGAGTATGTCAAAACATTTGAATCAGTTCCCAGCTTTGGATCCCCGGATGTTCTTGGAGTAAAACTCCCTAAAGCCTTCAGCACTAGCTGTGCTGGCCTGGATTTCTAGGAGTTGCCATCCAAGACCATATGGGGACCCAAGGTTTAAATGAATGATCTCTCTCTCTCGCTCACTCGCTCGCTTTACTTTACTTTACATTGACATCACATCTCTGTGATGTTAATGTAATGTACACTCCCAAAGTTCACTTTGGGAGTGTACATTACTTTGAAATACCATTTTTGTTGGTTCCCCATCCCCACAATCTATACATTTACATAGACTTATGTCTAAATATTTCATTCCATGTGTCTGAGGACAGCAGATGGTAACCCACGAAAGCTTACAGTAAAATAAATCTGTTAGTTTTTAAGGTGCCATGATATTTTTTCCAATTTTTATTTTGTTTTATTTATGCCATATATACTTAGTTAACAAGGTTGCTTCCATTGGGCAGCCTTAGTTACTAGGAACATTGTGGATAGCAACATGTCCTGGGGAGGAGGGAAATTGGCCTAAATGCACCAACATTGCTCAGTCCTAATTTAGAACCACAGTAAAATGGTTGAGCAAATTTTACCCATGTTTTGTCTTAGTTGAGATTGGCGCACAGTATATAGTGGTAAATAAATTTGACAAAACTCCGGGAGGCAATGGAAGATAGGAGGGTCTGGCGTGCTCTGGTCCATGGGGTCACGAAGAGTCGGACATGACTAAATGACTAAACGAAACGATATAGTGATGAAGGTGATCTGATCTCTTGTTATATAATTGTTTGCTAGCAGCCATTCACATAATATGATGGGCAAAGGCAAGGAGGGCCTTTGGATGTCTGTCTATAGGCAGCCTTTACAGTGAAACTATAAGCTTTTAAAGCACAGCTTTTCTCATTACAGGGCCCTTGAGACTGATACCTTTGCCTGGGAAGGTGATGCAGAAAACAGCTTACACAATAAATTGACAGGAAGTCAACCAGTGCATCCAAAGGCCTCACCCAGTGCTGGCAGCTACCAACTGCATTTTGCCCTGCAGCAGCTTCAACAGCAGAAGCTTCAGTCTCGACAGCTTTTGGACCAGAGCCGAGCTCGGCACCAGGTGATTAAGATGATTGAGGCTTCCTTAGAAGATGTTTTATTGTTGGGTTGTGTACACAGGAAAGAGATTTTAATACAAAACAGAGCCAAATGCTACAGAAAGCAAACCCCAGGTCTTTCTATTTGCATCAGTCATGGAATTTTCCATAAATGTTTTTTGATTTGCACAGTAGGTTTCCTATCATACAAGATCTTGCAAACTCTGGGAGATTTTTGCAGTATTTTGTCAGGAGCTAAATAATTGGGGAGAATGAGAAAAGGCTTGGCAGCAGCTAATTTGAACAAAAAAAGCAGCAATTGAGAACCATAAAAATATATACAGAAACTCACACTGCCTGATCACAAGCACTTTTTTTCGAAACCTTGTTGGAGGATGCTGCCTCTGAATCTTAAGGTTTTTTTCTTCACACAATGAGAACAACCTGATGGAAGAGGTGGTGATAATAAACACCAAGTTTTCTTTAGACTGTGCATTATAAAATTTACCTGGTGAAAGCTGTATCTTACATTCTGTAGCCATATGCTCTTGCATTTATATTATAAAGGTTTTTTTTCCATCCCAGAAAATTACCTTCGCTTCCAGTCTGATGATTTGTTTGGTAATAGTTTGGCTTGATATTTGTAACCCTGAAGCCTGGTTACTGTATATACCACCAAAATGTCAGACTCTATCTTATATACTTTATATTAGTTTGACCATTTTTATAGTCTTCTTTCATTATTCAATTGAAATTCTTCATTTTGATTATTCTATGTTACATCTTGTAACCAGTCAATGCTAAATTCTGAAACAGTGGTTTCCATTTCAGTTGAAGGAATAGTTACCAAATAGACAAATGCAAAGCACTATTGATTTGCTCTTTCATTGACCATATATACACTTGAATTTAGTGGTGTGGGATTTTGTTTTTTATAGTATATTTTCTTGGTTTTCTAGGCATATTTTCTAAGTCTTTCTCACTTTAAATTGTGAGCGTGAGGAACAGAAGAAAGCCAAAAATTAACTCATGACATAGTTTCCTAATATATTCCGGAAACTTCTAGAAAAGTTCCCTTGTTCAGCTGCCCCTACTTGATTGTCAAGGTCTACTATGTACTGTCATTTCATTTGCACTTCTTTCTATCTTAGCCAAGGAGGAATAGTAGGCACATTTTTAATCTCTATCCAAAGGGCCCCACATGTATACTGCTCAGCTCAAGGTAGCCCTGTAAGCAAAGCTGTGTCTATGAGGGGTTTGAAGGGGGCCGTGCTGCTTGGCTGATTCCTCTTCTAATTGCCGACATTGAGATGATGTTGTTCTTGGCTTGAGGCAAAGCCATTACTCAGGAGTTTCTGTTAAAGTGATTCTTTGTTAAACCTCTGCTTGCATCCCCCACGTTCCCTCCCCTTCTCCCTCAGAGCACAGCCATTCAGAGTTGCAGTTACAGATATCCTCGCCATGCCGCAGGCTTAGGCAGTACTGAAGTTTCCATTATTGAAGAAAGAGGGTTTAATGCAGAGGTGCTCGCTGTACACCAAAGATCAGTTTGGTTAAACATAAGATTAGTATGAGTTAAATAAGCAAAGAATTATAAATGGGCCATTCTTGCCCTCTGCAAGGAGCAGATTTGCTGTAACCTTCTGCCTGCTGACACCAGGCATTAAAACAAACAAAAGTCTTTCTAGCCAATGTTATTACCTGTTCATTATTTGTGTGCAATTTTAAGTTTCAAAAGTTACTAAACAATGGCGTAAGTCATGACCATATAAAACAGATTAAGGCAATAACAGTTTGCTTTTTATTGGGTTTTAACAAGACAAGAGTTCAAGTTACCCCACAACCTTGCCCCCTCCCCCAACCATATTTAAACTGGAGTGACTAACTTTCTAGGTTTGTTGTGAGGATGAATACGTTCGCAAATCAAATTTGTTTTTAAGCAAATCCTATACAATTATTAAAAATATTATGTTCTATATTAATGGCAGGCAAGATTTTACCTGAATTAAGTATACATTATATGTTTCTAGCTTTTCATTTTTGTTGACATTCAGTGCATATTTATGGTATGTTCCGATGCTCCATTAGCTACTGAGGCACAGTGATTGTCTAGTGTTGTAGTTCCTTAATTCTTTAGTGTCAAACTGTCTATGCTGTGTGTCATAAACAAAACTCATTATGTTCTTGGAAAATGATGGCTCTTAGTTTTTCTTTGTATTTTAAGTATTTCAGGTAAAGCACAAATGAAAAACCATAATTTCCTGTTATAAGAATATGCTTGCACACTCTTCTGTTCTTCCTTTGCATGTGTATTTTGGAACAAAAAGCAGTTTCTGGATACTTCCAATTGCACAAAATTTGTGGTTTGACTAAAATACAGTTGGTTAGAATAAATTAGAATCAAACCATGGTGTTTGGTTTGTTCCTCTCTTGTGTTTGGATTTATCAGGAAACCAGTACCTTTCAGAAACATAGGAATCTGCCTTATACTGAGCACAATCCTGTCCGCATAGTTACATAAGTTACATACAGGGACCTGAAATAATTAATTTAAACAAATTGAAAACTTCCTATCCCTTGCTTCATGTTCTGAGCATGCCTAGGGGTCCCTTTTGCCCCAAAGAAGCCTTTGAGAGCCTTGGACCAGGGTAGAGGAGCTTTTAATAGTAAAAAAAAATCACTCCTGGATTGTCATGATGGTCCCAATCCCACCAACACTGATCCAGTAGTGATTGTTTCTCTTAAGGGCTCCCCCCTCCACCACACGAGGCTTCAAAAAGCGCTGGGAGCCTTGGGACCTGAAAGACGAGGACAGAAAGCTTTCAATTTGTTTCAATTTGATATTTCCAGACTTGATCCAGTTTATGCCGGCGTAATTATCCCAACAAGATATTGCCCAGTGGGTCAGACCATTGATCCATCTAGCCCAGTTATCTGGAAGTGCCTCTCCAGCTTCAAGATTTGAAGTGGGATTCTTTGCAAAATCATTAAAGAAGCATGTTCAAGATTATTTAAGTTCTCCAAGTGACAAGTGGAAGATTTAATTTTTGTTTCCTCACTTACAGAACAGCAAGTTCACAAACTCACAATTTTCCATGGTATGTTCTCATAGAGAGAATCTTTGGTTTTCCATTCTGTCTGAACTGGGGCACAAACTTGTCACATATCTTCTTCCCTACATGACTTCCCCTGTCCACTGTTGTGTGTATGTATTGCTATCCTCACATGATAATGTTCACAGCCCCATGCTTATTGGTATTTATTGATCTCTTGTGCTAATAGTGACTCCTCGGTTTAATTAGTATACTGGTTTCTTAATTAGCATTCAAAAACTGAAAACGTATTAGAATTGCTACTCTGCCTTCACAGTTTTTTGCTCTGTATCATTCCCTCTTAGTCTGTAAATCTTTTAGAGAATAATCAGATATCAGGAGAAATGCCATGTCTGGCTCAAATGGTTAATGGCTCCTTTTACTGTTTTGAATAATAGTTACATAGGATCTTCTATCCCCACACTTTCTAGTCATTTTTGATCTGATTTTCCTTAAGTGTTTATTAATTTTGCCCTCTTTTGCGTGACTAGTCCTGGATGCTTTACATTTGCCATTTTCAGGGTCTTTGTGGCTCACAGTGCCATAACTTATTTTGGAAATGACTTTAGTTATCCACACAGAAAAAAATCATGCCAGGAATGTATTTAATGTATTTTTAGTGTAACAGCTGAGAAGAAGGAATGAGAGCCGACTTCTGTGGCTCATAGTTGGGAACTTCTGGCTCGGTCCTTCTGTCCTGCCCTCCCACTCCCCTTCCTTTTTTCCTTCAGTCTGTATTTCTTCCTTGCAAATCAGTGTCCCTCAAAGAGGAGTTTTGTGCAATTTGAGTTCTGTACAGAGCTTAGGATATAAATCTTTAAAGGCAATAGCAGTAGTTTTACTTTTCAGTAGAAACTGGCATTTATTTCTATTCTCCAGACAAGGACTATTGGAGAGTATGCCCCCTATACTGCCAGTAGACATATTTTAAATACTCACTTACTACTTGCTGTAACAAGTTCTCTGTAACAGGGTGATTCATTGTGTACTGCACTCATGTCCGGATTGCTTCTGGCTCTTAGATTACTTGGGATATTTCTGCATTAGGATCACCCCTGTTGTAGAAAAAGAGTTGTACCTCAGTGGCAGAGCACATTGTTGAATCCCTGGGCTTGGTGCCTGCATGTAGGGCTGGAAAATTCCTTTGTAAAACCCTAAAGCAGGGGTGGACAAACATCAGATTCCCTCCGCCCCCAGAATATGTTTACAGCCCTCCACATACTCCTCTTTTCCTGAGATGACGAGGGTGAGTTGCAGCTCCTGGAAATGTCCACAATGGCAACTCAGTTCTTGGATATGTTACAGGCACTCTTCACAACATTTCAATATTAAAGAATGCTCATTTTTCAAAACTAGAAGTGTGTTTCCAGCCATTTCCTGTTTCGTTTTTTCTTACTTTTTGGTATTTTGTTAGTTTGTTTGGCCACTACAAGGTCTCTGAGACATAAAATTGGTCTTCACATCTCCCAGAGTTTGTCTTCCCTGCTGTGGAAAGTTGTTGCTACTCACTGTAGATGATATTGAGCCAAATGGACTAGAGACTTCCTTTATTTTTATTTATTTATTTATTTGATTTATACCCCGCCCATCTGGTCTATACGACCACTCTAGGTGGCTTACAACATAACATAAGCATTAAAACCAAGAATAGTACATAAAACATCCAATAGGAAATTAAAATACAAAATGAAGAGGAAATAAATAAGAGAGTGAGAAAATAAAATCAAGTACTGACAGGAGGGAAGGCTTGAATGTACAACCATGTTTTTAATTGGCTTTTAAAAGTACCCAGTATATTCCTTTATTTTTCTGTATTTTTTTCCTCCAGCAATTCCTTTACTGATTGTGAATATCTTGTCTGTACAGTACTTATTTCTTCAGGGTATTTTTAACTACTTGTGCTAGTTAGTTTAGTGGTTTAGACATCTGGC